GAGGAAGTTCTGCTCAGTGTTCCGTCAATAAAAAATGACAAGCTACCCGATGTTCCAAATTACGATGATACCATTAATAATGGATTGTTTAGCACGATGGATCCGATATTGCTGTTGAGGTGAAGCCCTTAAGATTAGGTGGGCTCCTTGCTCTTAAAATCTGCTTCTGATCGATATTTCTTCAGTCTGTGCGATGCCTTGGGCGAAAGTCAACGGTTAGCGAAGCAATTCAACGACAACAACGGTCAGCGGACGTTGCTGTGGAAAGCAGGTCTACGTGGCTCCAGTAAGCCAAATCTGATCAGGTCAGCTTCTTTTGCAAATAAAGTTTCTGGTTTCTCTGTTGAATGATCAACCGCTATGGCCTAGCATTTGAATTTTGTTTTATACGAAATTTCCAATGCCACTTTCTTGATTTAAGTGGGTTTTCCTTAGGAGCGCGATATTTATAAATTTTTCTTCATTTCGTTTTTTCTCATTGGGCAACCTAGGCATATGTGAAATTTTCATTTCTGCATTCATAATTCACTGATTCTGTGTGAGCTCTCTCTGATGGCCTGCAATTTTAGGCAAGAGACCCACGCTTTGAGAGCAATGCTAGCTATTTTACTACGACTTCTGAATGACCCTCGATCAGCTCCCGTGCAGGAACAAGTCGCTAAAGGCGTTCTTTCGTGAGTGGTCGAAATCTTCTGATTTACCCATCGTCTATGCCGGACGGGTATTTTTAGAGTTGTGTCGGCAGTGTTACGCGGATATGGGGAAGCGGTCTCGGATGCTCGTCGTACAGCCTACGCTCCAGTCGTCTGTGAATTACTCCGAGAATGTCTTCGTTTGCCTAAACATTTACTTCCGGCTTTGGGTGCTGAGTTTCCCCTTCGTCTTTGTGAACTAGTGGAAACTGCCGATGGCCAGCCGTTGCGCTCCCTCTTAGCCACTTTGCTCCGTCAGTTTCTGGTAACGAAGAACTCACTGGGTGTTGAAGATAAGGTGAATGCGATCAATGGTGTCTCAGATTCGGCAACTGAGTATAATGAAATTTAATTTTTTTTGTTTTTCCTGCATTCATTGTTTCATTCTACTTAGAACTGTTGTTAGTATAGTCTCATCGCATTCATTTTTGTGTCAAGTTTGAAAATCATAGATGTGCATGCTAATCATGCCTTTTTTGTTCCAACTTTCCATGTGATTCGTCCAGTTGATGTCTGTTTATTTATTCTTTTGTTTCTTGAAGGTATTTATTGTGATCATAGCTCTTGAATGTGTTCATTATTATTCATGGCATAGTGGTCATTCTGTGTTGAGATGTATTTTACAAACGTTTACAATCATATTTCTATCAGCTGTCGTTCGTAGTGGCTCTAGAAGTCTAACTTATTGCGCACGGTTTCATTGACTTCATGCTGGGCATGAGCAAAGGATCACTTATTGGTTAACTGGTCTTTTGGGCTTTTCCCCGTTTCCTTTTTCTGATTGTGCTACTGTAAGTACACTGTGAATGTGATTATTACGTAGGATCCCTCATCTATGTCCCTTATTTTCCGATCCTACTCAGTTGTGCACTTCCTGTCAAGCTTTGGTTCCACGACGTCCGCGCCGCTACCACATAACTTCATCCCCAGGTGAACACGTGTGATATATTTGTTTTTCACTGATGTGTGATGTCGAGAGTCCGCAAATTTGATTGTATTTTTTATCATGTGCGATGGCGAAATACAGAGAGACTACTTTTGTAATAAATCTTTATATCTAATGCGATCATAGCGACGAGAAGGTTCTTGCCGAAAATTTTCGTTCTCGACGGTTTTTGATAAAATATGAAAATATGATAGCGATGCTTACAGAAAGTAGTTCTGCCTCAGCCAGTCGCAATACTGCGTTGTTCTCATTATGGTGAGTTTTTTCAATGGTTATCAATTCTCATTAAAATTTCTGGTTCAGGCAATACTTGGATTTCACATAGTTGTTTCTTTGGTGGCTCTCACCATAATGAGTAAATTAGGATCGCGTCTGTCAATTGTGCAGCTCTATATTGTTAAAGGGTGAGTCAAATTTCCTCTGCGGCAGTGAAGTTTGGTTTTGATGGATATATTTTTCAGATTGTTTCGTTTTATTGCACCATCAAATGATGAAATTCGTGCGCTTATGCCTCCGTCTAAAGAAAATCCAAGGACCCGTAGGAAAAAACGGTAGGCATGCAATGTGAAGATTTGAGATTCCTAGGAATTTCTAAAGTTATTGCTTATCACTTTTCGTTTTCGTGAAAAACTTTCGTAATTTCGTGCACCTTCGAATGATGAGAATCGCTTCTTCATACATACTCTTGTACTATGATCACGCTAAATTATTTAACCAGCTGGAAGACGTCCGATGGTTTTGATATTTCGCCCATCTCGTTCAGAAGCAAGCGTTCACAACGTGTGAAATCTTGCGGACAGTATTGCTGTGCACTTTCATTGCAGCTCTTCGCCATTGTATACCTATTATCCGAATGTTCTTGTTTTCAGATTTTTGATTTCATACCCAATCAAATCCTCTGAGTACGCATATTGGCATGCCTCAGGATCTAAGATCGCGGAACAGCCAGCTCTGTATCCTAGGCTAGGTGGTTTCTATGCCATCCACATCCTCAAATGACAGCTATTGAAAATCGGACTTGTGCAGGGCAACTTTTAGAGACCCAATGTTCCATGCCATCGCTGTTCCATACCATCGCTTTGTTTCGACCTACATGGTCACGCGCAATCAAATCTTAAAGCCACGCCCTAGGATCACATTAGTGTGGCGCACGTATACGACTGC